AATTTTAAACAGAAAACTTCCTTTGCAGAGATGTTCTTGATGATTTTCTTTGCAACCCTTCCCTTAAAACTTTCTCTAGCAGTCCATGTGGCTGGGTTGTGTCAGTGAATAAGGTAATAATATGAAAGATAAAAATGTTTTGCTAATGCAAATATTGAAACAAGCATGTTTGCGACACACTGTACTTAGTCAGGTGATTTCCATTTTTAGAGCTGCTGTGTTATTCTTCCCCTGCTGGCAGAAGGTAATTTGGAAAATCTAGGATGCATTCTCTCTTTAAGTGTTCTCAGCTTCCAAGGATTTTCCTTTAAACCAGAGCATGACAGGTTAAATGGGTTCATTTCTTGAATGAAAGTGGAAAAGATGACAGAATTATTTGTCTTTCAGACATCTTTGAATGAGTCTGTTCCTTTGTTATATTACCCATAATGACTAATATATGGATAACATTGCCCAATGCAATCAAGCTTGCTTCCTGGGTATCATACCTGGTTCAAAAGTTCCTAGAATCTGATTTGATGCCCAAGTGTCTTGTGTGCACGGTATAAACCAATTGCATTGTGTCATCTTAGACATAAAAGAGCCACAGCTATAACATAACCAGATGAAGAAGTATGCTAAATTAATGGCTTCACACATCTATTTTGCTGGTCCCAGTCAGACTGGCTGAAACACATCTGGTAGCCTTATATGTTCTATTGCTCTGACAGCTCCAGCCACCTCTCCTTATTCCAGGAGTCCCTATTCCTTCAGGTTGTTCAGAACAATCTGAGTATTTACATTGTCTTTCACCTCTCTCCTGCTGTCCTTTGCAGCCCTGCAGTGTCTTGGATCCAGATCCTGAAAACCATTTGGGCACCTAATTCCCGCTGGATTTCAGTGGGTGTTAAGTGCTTAAACAGCTAAATAGACTTGGCTAGTGGCAGACATGACCTGTAGAAAATGCAGCTCCCACTGCAGATGGACCAAATAACATGAAGACATTTCACTCACTGTTGTAACTAATACAAAAGGAGAGGAGTAACATCAATGGTCCCTTGAGAGCAGCACTGATCTAAGCATTTCTGGACTGTGGAATGATGTCGGGCCAGGTCCCAAATCCCATGTTCTAAGGTAGTGACACTCAACTTATGATCCATGGGGAGCTTCAGGGCAGTGGGTCCTTGCCTCTGGAGGAATGCAGGGCAGCCTGGGGTTCTTGTGGCACTACCCAGCCAGAAAAGGAGAAGCTGGCTGGGAAAGGGATGGAAGCAGGTGTCCCTGTCAGGGGAGAGTGTCCCAGGATGAGGGAGCAAGTGCTTTAGGGCAGAGGCATAACTGTTGCAAAGTTTGTAGGGCAAGCTGCTCCTGTGGGGATTAGAACCACCCAAGTGTATGCAGAGCAGCCACTGAAAAGCTGAAATTTGGCAGTAAGGGGAGGAGACAAGAAGGTTAATCCTCTGGTTCCTGGCCACACCAACACCTCTTCCTGCAACAGATGGCTTCCTCTGGAAGCAAAGCTCTTGTTCTATGTGGGTAGGAGCATGGAGAGTCCTGTGAGGGATCCTGTGATTTAACCACTTACAAGCAGCATGTAGCCGCAGGCTGCTATTTGGACAGCCCTGATCCAAGGGAATATGAAAGGCTCCCGACATAGCTGGGGATTCCACAAGTATCCCTCAATCAAGAAAACAGAGGAAATGTCACAGTGGCTAATGATAAATCACCTGGGATAAAGCCTTAGTTGTTAGCTGCCACACAAATGTGACAGATGTTACCTCTATGAAGTCCTAAAGCACCAAGAGTAGTCTGCCTTTCAGGGGAAAAAAATACCACAGGATAATGCTGAGAACAAACTGGTGGCAGGTTTTTGGTGAAGGGTCTTTGTCTCTAGGCCCATTCTCCACTTCACAAACTGTCCTCAGTCCCAACCAAACTGCTCTACTTACAGACCACAGTATGGAGAGGCAGAAAAGGTGACTCTACCCCACTTGCATGTCCCCTTGGAGGACCTCAAAGCCTCTGATTTGAGTTAGAACAGCCTTCCAACTTCTCCAATTCATGTCCACCTCCAGAAGCTCCAGGTGGATCATTCAAAGAACTAGGAATCGCCAGAGCACAAAGGTAAATAAGCTTTTCCTTACATCAGGAGAAGATGGCAGGAAGTGACAGCCCAGAGCCAGGTAGATCACCAAGGAATTGCCTGCTAGCAGCTAAATGGGCTTTGCAGCAACTTTGTGCCAAGGATTACAGTGTGGGCTGGGTGCAGGCCATTTTCCCAAACTGTATCTGTGGAGATGAGGATGAGTTATTCATTTCCTTGGGTTTGGTAACTGGAATGGTTATTTCTCCATTTTAAGTTTTGCAGGTGTTGCTATACCTAACGTACCTAGATCATCCCATTCAGCAGGCATTTTTTGATCAAAAAAGGTTTGAATGTGGGTGCTTCCCTCTGCTTCCAGGAAGCAAAATTTAAAATGAGAAGCTTTGATGCCCTACACATGAACTGCACAGCCTGGCTAGTCAACATACTGTATAAATGGGGGATGGAGAATACCAATATCTCAGGTGGTTCAGAGGCACACAAAGGCCCATCCGTACTGCCAGCATGGCCTGTGCTCTCCTTCAGAGATTCCCAGGGGCTGACCTGTGCATTGAGTCTAACCCCATCACAGACTCACGTGTAGTAGATGAGAGTGTGATTGAAGTCTATGGAAACATGAACCAACCACTGACTAAAGAGCAACAGATATTTCCTCTGAGGAGAAGAACCCAAGGGAAAAGAATAAACCAGCCTGGCTTCCCCAGGGGCTGGCCTGGGATATGTAGTTAAAAAATAAAAAACATGCCCACAGCCCTGACCATGGAAAAGGGAGTGGACACCAGGCACATATTGTATTTGTTATGCTTTGCAGGGAAAAAATGAGCAAAGGAGGAAGTAGAATGGGCCTGTGAGAACTATCAGGGTTATGGTTAAGAAAAACTCCTGTGGCTGTTACAGATATGGCATGAGTAGAAAGCTGCAGGAAGTGGGGGGGCGGATGGACGGTCCATTCATAACTTGGAGTTGGTGGGGCTGAAATTAATGGGGACTTAAAAACACCTAAAGTCCCAGACTCTCCTTTAACAAATAGGGGAGATGTGAGATGTGGACATCCTAAAGGATGGGCACTTGCACCTTTTCCCTGCCTTTCCAAAGCCCCCTAGTTGTCTCTGCAGCACAGTTTGGGCTTCTGGGGGTAAGAGATACTTATGAATCTCATAACCACACCTCACACACCTGCACTGGACTCGGTGATTTCTCTGACTTGTGGTTTGGATGCAGATGGAAGTAGGCTCATATTTAACCCCCAAAGATCCATCTGGCTCCTCACAAGTCTGGGGCATGGCACTGAGAAGGTCCCAGTGAAATGTGTGGAGCCTTCCTTGGCTAGGGGAACGGTCTCTGTGGCTTCTTAACCATGGGGACATGAAAAGGGATCCTGAGACTCTCTTTTAGAAGAAGCCACACCACATCCCTGCATCTGATTAGAACAAAATCTTGCCAAACAAATGTGGTTAAAACTAGCCAGGCAAGCAGCTTTTTACAGTTGACCTGAAAAAATACTATCAGTAGGACTCTCCTTTTCAAGGGCTGCAATACCTGTTTGGTGCCATTGTATTTTCGTTATTCCAGAATAAGGCCAAGAAGTGGGTGACTGTAATAATTGATTGCGTTTACTTTTCCAGAGTTCAAACACTCTTCCTAGTTGCACAAGGCCATGGCCCCAAACCTCTGGCTTTCCATTAAATGAACCTTGGGCTGACGGGGCCGGGTTTGTCATGAATAATGACAGCAGTGGGTGGCTTACCTCCAGCAAGGTCTAACAAGGTACTAGCCAGCAACAGAAGGCAGGAGATTGTCACACAGTAGGGAGGAGGAGGAAGGTGTGATTGTAGAGCAAAGATGCTGCTTTCATGCAGCCAGGTCTTTCTGGTCTTTCAGTTGATCCTTCTCTCAGGATGACAGTGCCATAGGCCAGAGCCTAACCCTGGCTCCGTCAGCAGGTGCCGGCTGGGTGCCACAAGGTGCTGTTGCTCAGTACTCCTGCGTGCCGCAGGTTTAGTTCTGAGCACTCCAGGCTGAGAGCACTCAAGGCTTTCTCTGACACTCTGGTTGCCTCACATTCCCCATATCTTACAGATCAGGCAGTGGACCAGGCCCCTGGTCTTATTTCAGAATTCCCTGTCGCCCACACCCAGGTGCGGCCCAGTTTACATGCTGAACAGTCAGGAAAATGTGGCAGGGGTGCAAGGGAAAGGGTCTCTCGCAGTCCTTGAGAAGATATCATGGCAGCAAGGTGGGAAGAGCTCCCAAAGACCCCCTCAGGAGCCCTGGAGACCCCAGTGGAAAGCAGGAGCTGGAACTGACAGTGTGACATGACAGCCCCCTAACTCCACTTCTAGCCTGTGCCCCCCCAGCAAGGGCTCCGTTCCTTCCAATGGGCTTGGAGGGGCAGTTCAGAGGCAAGCAAAGCCGGGGCCGGTGGGCATGGAAGTGGGGCTGGACAAGACGAGGGAGACCAGAGCCAGGTGCTTTCCAGCTCTGATGGCAGAGCTTTCAGGAGAGGCATTCCCTTCTGCCTGTCTCCTGCCAGCTGTGGTCACCCCGGGAGTGGATCGCAGAGTCACCCCGCACTGGCTCCCAGACACCGCGGCCGGCAAGTTCAGCTGCGGCAGCCGCTGCCCGTCGGGCCTGCAGGGCCGGGGCACCGGG